TTAAAAGTAAAGAGTTTAATCAAATCAATTACACTACCCTTAATAATCAAATTAACTGCATATATCAATATTTGCTGAGAAAAGCGATTAAATGTTTAAATTAAAATAATTAGATTAGCCACTTCCCTACATCTACATCTACATTCACATTCATCAGATGGGGCTGATGTTTAAGCATAAATCAACAAGATGGGATACAGTGATCAGTGTTTTTAAATGAGTTTTCTACGGTGGCCGAGAAGTGCTAAACAAATCACAATTCTGAAAACATCTATCTCCGCCACTGGAGCTGATGATTTACAGCCACTTTTAACTAAATGTAAATAGACACTCCGTATTTTTTATTCCATAGTAAGGGCAATTCATACAATACATTTAAACTGAGCTACTTTAATACCATCTCCGAACTTTCTACCACGACTCTGCTGTTCTTCGGCTGGTTCTTCCTGTATACGTTGATTGACAGATGTCTCGTCCAGTCAGCGGTGAGTAATCCCAAACCAATGGCGCTGTCTCAAACTATACCTACCTCTTCCGGTTTGTCTGATTTGTCATTGTGTTTTCTGACTTGTTAATTTGTTTTCGGATTTGTCGTTGTGTTTTCTGACTTGTTATAATGTTTTCTGAATTGTTGTTGTGTTTTCTGAATTGTTATTTTGTTTTTTAGACTTGCATTTGCGTTTGTAATTTGTTATTTTGTTTTCAGAATTGTGATTTGTTTTGCACTTCTCGGCCACCGTAGTTTTCACATATAATACACTTTAAATGAACCAAACCCAGTTCAGTTAGAGTGAACCAGAAAGGGAACCAGCTACAAGTGACTTTTTATGGCATTCACAATGCAAGTGGACAAAAAGAGCCGAAATTAACCATATATTGTATGATGAAAGATATAGTTCTTTGATCATTTGGGGTGTTCACATATGCATGCTATATTGGCCTTTTATATAGTTATATAGACCTTGTTATATAGACCGCTTTGAGTAGTTCAACTTTGTAAAACGTATCTCAAGATCCCTGCAATCCCCTGTAGCCTCACTGTTTCTGAACACAAATGCTTTTATTTTTGATAACTAATTATACAACATTAAAGGCGCAATAGGTGATTGTCTTCAGAAAAATTTTTTGTTATGCTGGTTGAAAGTCTCTTCACATCCCGATAGCAATCATTAAGTTAAGTGGTCTAAATGTATTAATATGTATTTATATATTCTGTGGAAGGCATAGGACCAAGAAATGTTCCTCCAATCAAAACGCTCGACTTTCCTACCTGCATATCAACATATGTATTTGCATACCTCTGCGCACTCTGTTCGCGCTGATGACGTATCACGTACGCTGTGCAGACAGAGCGAGAATGGCAGCCAAACATCAACAACCTGACCTTCCTTCCTGGTATTTACTAACTGTACTATAAAGTTTTCTCACCGGTGAATGACACATGATGTATTGTAGTAATGTTGTCTCTGGTCGTCTGATCTGTTCGCGTTCGTGTGTTCAGGGGGTGTGGCTTTGGACGGTGATTTGTAGGGAGGGAGGGACGTTCGCTTTCAGTGCTATCAGGCTAAAGTTTCCAAGATCTCCTACTGCACCTTTAATGCATCAAACTGCCAGCCTTTGTAAATAAATCAATAATGCTATTAAATCCATCATGTTTTTTCAAAACCCCATTTGCTCTCTCCTGTAATTATCTGCCAGCTGAAACACATTCAACACATTCATGATATCATTTGATCTGCGTATCGGTTGACACAATCAACTGATTGCTTGAGCTGCAAACCATGCAAACCACAACATCTTCTGAAGCGGTTTAAACACGCATCCAATCCTGAAGGCATCCATAAAGGGCCCTTACTGGATTAAAGGGGGCTGGGATCCTCTCTGGTGCGAATAGGATGCGAGAGAGTGCGTATGCGTGTGTATAGGGAGATTTGTCTGTGCTTCTGTCTCATGAATCACTCCTGCGCACACAGGCCTGTAGAGTGGGCGTCAGTGATCACAGTTCACGGTTACGTAAGTCCTCCCAGCGCCTGCTGGAGCTGCTGTAGCAAACCATCTGCCACTCAGTCTCCTTCAATGGAGCCACTGCCGGTGTGTCTCCAGCACTCTGTCCTTTTAAAGGAATAGTTTGCCCAACTCTGTCATATTTACTCACCCTCGTGTCAGTACAAATCCATTCGCTGTCATTTCTTCTGTTTTCATGCCACACAATGACAACTCAGAGATCACCTCACGCTCTAAAATAGCAAAATGGCCCATACCATGCATATGCTACATTCCAAGTCCTAGCTTTGTGCAAGGACAAGATCACATTTAAAGGGATAGTTTAACCACAAATTAAAATTCTGTCATTATTTACTCACACTCATGTTATTCCAAACCTATAAGACTTTAAGACTTACGGTTTTGGAACAACAGGAGGGTGAGTAAATGATGACAACTTTCCTTTTTGAGTGCTCTATCCCTTTAAGTTGTTTTCCCTTGTGATCTTTTCCTTTGCCAAAGCTTATGTCTAGATTCAAAAATACTGTGTTGACACTAAAGGGATAGATCACCCCAAAATTTAAATTCTGTCATCATTTACACACTCTCATGTCGTTCCAGAGTCGCAAGAGTTTCTTTCTTCTGCTAAACTCAGAAGATGATAATATGAAGAAAGTGGATAACCAAACAGTTGGCGGTAACCACTGACTTCCATAGTATGTTTATATATTAAATATATTTATATATAATATAAATTATATGAATATAAATATATACATGTAAACATTTTCTAAATATATACTGTATGATATACATAATAAATATACACAGTACACACACATATATTATGTGCACAAAAACATTTATTTTTGATGCGATTAATTGCGATTAATCGTTGCTCAGCACTAGTTATTTCCATTGAAACTTTTATTCCATTTATTTCAATATATTTGCAATTGCATTTAGTGCATTTAAAATACAATAATTTTAAATGTAATATTGAATATCACACTATAGTTAAAATTGTAATCAAGTGCTTTAGTAAGTTAGTCAACACAAAAATCAGTGTATTTATTTAAAGGTGCAATAGGTGATTGTCTTCAGAAACATTTTTTGTTATGCTGGTTGAAAGTCTCTTCACATCCCGATAGCAATCATTAAGTTAAGTGGTCTAAATGTATTAATATGTATTTATATATTCTGTGGAAGGCATAGGACCAAGAAATGTTCCTCCAATCAAAACGCTCGACTTTCCTACCTGCATATCAACATATGTATTTGCATACCTCTGCGCACTCTGTTCGCGCTGATGACGTATCACGTACGCTGTGCAGACAGAGCGAGAATGGCAGCCAAACATCAACAACCTGACCTTCCTTCCTGGTATTTACTAACTGTACTATAAAGTTTTCTCACCGGTGAATGACACATGATGTATTGTAGTAATGTTGTCTCTGGTCGTCTGATCTGTTCGCGTTCGTGTGTTCAGGGGGTGTGGCTTTGGACGGTGATTTGTAGGGAGGGAGGGACGTTCGCTTTCAGTGCTATCAGGCTAAAGTTTCCAAGATCTCCTACTGCACCTTTAATGCATCAAACTGCCAGCCTTTGTAAATAAATCAATAATGCTATTAAATCCATCATGTTTTTTCAAAACCCCATTTGCTCTCTCCTGTAATTATCTGCCAGCTGAAACACATTCATAGCTTATGGGATATCATTTGATCTGCGTATCGGTTGACACAATCAACTGATTGCTTGAGCTGCAAACCACATTTCTAAAAACATCTTCTGAAGCGGTTTAAACACGCATCCAATCCTGAAGGCATCCATAAAGGGCCCTTACTGGATTAAAGGGGGCTGGGATCCTCTCTGGTGCGAATAGGATGCGAGAGAGTGCGTATGCGTGTGTATAGGGAGATTTGTCTGTGCTTCTGTCTCATGAATCACTCCTGCGCACACAGGCCTGTAGAGTGGGCGTCAGTGATCACAGTTCACGGTTACGTAAGTCCTCCCAGCGCCTGCTGGAGCTGCTGTAGCAAACCATCTGCCACTCAGTCTCCTTCAATGGAGCCACTGCCGGTGTGTCTCCAGCACTCTGTCCTTTTAAAGGAATAGTTTGCCCAACTCTGTCATATTTACTCACCCTCGTGTCAGTACAAATCCATTCGCTGTCATTTCTTCTGTTTTCATGCCACACAATGACAACTCAGAGATCACCTCACGCTCTAAAATAGCAAAATGGCCCATACCATGCATATGCTACATTCCAAGTCCTAGCTTTGTGCAAGGACAAGATCACATTTAAAGGGATAGTTTAACCACAAATTAAAATTCTGTCATTATTTACTCACACTCATGTTATTCCAAACCTATAAGACTTTAAGACTTACGGTTTTGGAACAACAGGAGGGTGAGTAAATGATGACAACTTTCCTTTTTGAGTGCTCTATCCCTTTAAGTTGTTTTCCCTTGTGATCTTTTCCTTTGCCAAAGCTTATGTCTAGATTCAAAAATACTGTGTTGACACTAAAGGGATAGATCACCCCAAAATTTAAATTCTGTCATCATTTACACACTCTCATGTCGTTCCAGAGTCGCAAGAGTTTCTTTCTTCTGCTAAACTCAGAAGATGATAATATGAAGAAAGTGGATAACCAAACAGTTGGCGGTAACCACTGACTTCCATAGTATTTATTCCGTACTATGGGAGTCAACGGTTATCTTCTTTTGTAGTCAGCAGAAGGAGGAAACTCATATGGGTTTGGAACAACATGAAGGTAATGTAAACAATGACAGAATTTAAATTTTTGGGTGAACTATCGCTTTAATTGTTGTTGTATGGAAAAGAGCTGCCAAAAGATTCTTCAAAGTTTCTACTTTGTGTTCCACAGAAAAAAAACAGTATACAGGTTTAGAGTGTGAGGTAAATAACTATCCATTTAAATCCCCACTAAATAGGTTCTGAAAGAGCACAAACTGTAAGTTAACACAGTGGAGCTGCATGGTTTTGTTTTTACCTTGGCTTTCTTCATACGATTCATCACATTCCCAAGGTCCTCCATGTCGATGACGGAGCCACGCGACTTCTCTTCCTCAGCGGAGGACTCTGCATCACTGCTGGACTCCATCAGCTCCTCCTGAAATCCAAACAGAGCTGTAAGCTTTGGGGGGCACATCTACATTATACCCAACCCATGAAAACATCTATGTGGAGAAAGAACCGGAGAAATGTTTTCCATTCAGATATTTCAGCAGTTATTATGCATGTCCCATACTTTTGTCAACTGAACCAGAGATGGCAATCATTTGTGATTTAATGATTCTTTTGAGTCAGTTCTTTCTTTCCATTGAATTGGCTAACGGGTTTGCAAAACTCTCTGAAATAATTCACATTTGTACGGACCACTCTCTCACATGATCATCCGAAGCAATTTCTCATTCACTAAAGCCAAGAGTATCAAGACACTTAAGACAACAGAGAGCAAAGAGCATGTGATGAAGTAGATAATCTACTTCAATTGAAACAAACATCCACTTTTTCAGACAGTACAGCGTTATGCTGTATCATGTCAATATGAAGCTATTCAAACCAAGTGGTGTTGTGCTCTCTCACTCTGCTTTTCAATTGTTGGATTTGGTTGGATCAAAAGTGGGATGTAATATACTATACCATACTACTAGGTGTATATAGGTTAGCAAGGGTGCTCTGGGTGGTGGTTTACTGTGGTCTCTAGATATGGCTCAGCTCCCACCTTCTGTGGATTTGTGGGAAAATTGCAAGTTTGATTGCTTAGAGAGAAGGGATGTGCACCACGACTAATTTCATAAATATTTAAATAGAACTTTATTGACTAATGTATCTGTTTTTATCTCTAAAGTATCTGACTAATTGACTAGTCTAACATACACCCATTAGACTAAGATCTATTTGAAATCGCTTCATAATCTATGAATCAAAGAGTCAAATTCCATATTGAATGCAGCTGCAATATTACATATACATGCAACAAAATCACAAAAAAGCTTGCCATGTACCGGCAACTATACATTTGAAGTATATTCTATTCGATAGGATACTGATATAGGATCTATTATTGTCAAGTAAGTTTTTCATTGACAATGTTTCCTCTTTAAACCACTATAAAATTTTATACCAGTACTGTCACTCATAACTGGCAGTATGACAAGTCTGTAAGTAAGCTTAATTGTTATATAGTAGTTTGACATTCAGAAAACTCTTCTGTTTTAAGAGTTTTTAAGTCAAAGCACTCCCTCATTTTGCCTGTCTTCCATGTGGACATTCATCTGAGAAACACAGAGAAAACGAAAGGTCTGAGGTATCCCAGATATTGATATTATCTATTATTTTTAAAATGTAACATTAACACGACAGTTATTTAAAGGTCTTAAAGCCTTTATAAAAAATATAAAGCGTAACATAAATGTGCAACATGTAAATAATAATAATAATGTAAACGCAGTGTTTCCCATACATCGATTTATTTGTGGCGGCCCACGCCACCCACCACAATATCAAAACTGACTGCCACAAATAGATTTTCCAAAAGGCTTTGACTTCGTTGGATAAACATGAGCACTGCACGTTTCAAAATTGAAACCCAGTGCAGGTGGTTTTTATATCACTGTATTTCAAAATTTTGGATGTCATTTTCATTTCATCTTGTCTGTAATGTCTGATAAAGCAGCGTTTGTGAGCGGAGCTGCTTTGTGTACAGCCGTTACCGGGGAAACCTCTATTTCTCCCGCTCTAAGCGCCTCCTGCTGGCAGAGAATTAATTTGCATATATATGCCACCACAAATAGAGTGTCTGTGGGAAACACTGCGGCAAGTTTTTCCCAGCGTCTACTAGTAGCATATCATTTAGCCTAGTCGACTAGTCTTCTTTTTTCACAAAACAGGTGCTGGTTCCAGGACGACTGCAAGTGTAGTGAAAAAGTTTCCCGCAAACAGAACCAGAAAGCAGTAGCCACACATGGACACCTGCAAAAAAAAAATGAGGTCAAGAGGTTATTGCAACTTCAAGATCGCTGTCTTAATTTATTCATAATCTTTAGCTAAGTGAGTGGATTTAACTTATTATTTCATTATGATGTTGTGGAAAGGTCTACAAAGCAACACTGACCTGCCATTCTTTACTTTCAGGCATCTGTGCCATTCTGAAGAGAGAAATACTGTTCCATAGCTGCCAGAACTGAACCAAGATATACAGTAAATGATTTCTTTCATAAGGCAATGCATATGCTGTTCCATTTTCAAAGTTTTATTCTTTATATATGACAAATTATGCTTTGATTTTATATATTCTATAGGATAGACAAACACTTACATGGCCCAAGAAGAGAAAGGGGAGAAGAAATGTCAGTCCCCGCCACATCCACGACTGAAAGCCCTCTGTGGAAACAAAAAGCTATTTGATAAAAAGTTTTACACTGTCAGATTTCCTTTATACTGTAAACCCAGAAATGCTTACCAACAGTCAAATCCAAGTTGTGTCTTTCTCCCAGTGCTTTTAGCCTGTAGAGACACCCACTTTGATAGTAGTACTGAAGATACTGCACAAAGCCTGTGAGAGAAGGTGATACGTTTGCCTTCAGAATCGCTCAATATTGCGGTGTTGGTATTTTTCCCACAACAGATGTTTTACAAGGTGGTGTCTCCATGAAGAGTTTGTAACTTACTTTGATACAAACAATAGACCAGAAATTGGTTCCTGAAAGACTGGTATTTTTCACCATCTGGCCTGCATATACAACAGAAGTGTTGTTTGAGGACAATTCACTGATTCAAAACAACTGTATTGTTTTAATGCTGATCAGGGTTACTTTAGTATCACTGAGATATAGCGCCTCCTGCTGGCAGAGAATTAATTTGCATATATATGCCACCACAAATAGAGTGTCTGTGGGAAACACTGCGGCAAGTTTTTCCCAGCGTCTACTAGTAGCATATCATTTAGCCTAGTCGACTAGTCTTCTTTTTTCACAAAACAGGTGCTGGTTCCAGAGTCAGGCCCCATGAGAAACTGAGCACTTTCACTGTCGAAAATATGGTTCGGTCACATAAATGTATCTTATGAAGGCTTATATACTGTAGATGCTAAATGAAATTATTCAGGATGTTAAAATATACTAGCCAACATTTGAAGTGGATCAAAACCTTTCATCCAAGTTGTCCTAAAACCTAAAACCAAAATGCATTCTTGTCTTAGGACAACTTTAATGAACTTTTATTATCCACTTCAAATGTTGACTACCCCAAATGTTGATTGTTCTAATCTTTCGTGACTACCTCCGTCTAAAATAAAATATTAACAAATATCATGTATGAATTGACAGCTAAGGATTTTATTACTTAGAACCTCTGACACTTGAATAAAAAAAAGCTGAATTAAATTACTTTGGATATTAAAATGCATTTTTTGATAGACTTCTAAAAGACAGCGATATGCTATGTTTATTTGTGTGCAAGTTAGACATTAGCAGTCATTTGTTTCGTTTGGCTCTCTAGCAAGTTCTGAAAGCGTTCGAGTTCAAATCCAGAGCTAGTTCAGTGTGAAAGGGGGAAAAGTTTTGATTTCATGTGCCTTTCAGGTTATTAAACGTTATTATTTAAACCACTCAAAGGAGCTTAACTTCATTGGAACGATGTTCCCTATAAGTGTTTGAGTAAAGAATATGAGAGGGACATCATTTCCTCCGAAGTCAGTAATGTCACCCCCGCTGTTCAGATCCCATTTACATGAGTGGCAGCGCTCAGCATCCACAGCCACTTATCTATGTTCTTACTGACCTGGATACAGAAAATATATTTAGCGTAAGATTCAACACAGTCCCATCAAAAATGGAGTGAAAAATGAAGGTGTGTCTCACAGTGTTGTAATGGCCGACATAAACAGAGTTCCCCAGCCCAAAGACGGCATATCTCATTCCCTTCAGGAAGGTTTTCCCATATCGAAAGTCCGTGGAGGCTTCCTCGAGCCATTTACAGAACCATTCGGCGCTCTCAGTGGGCTGCCCGTCTGTGTATGTGGCCACCAGGAACACACAGATCATCTTGCTTGTGCACTAGAGAACAAATTATATGTGAGCATTAAGAAATATTTAACATGGTACTCATGGAAGCAGCTCTCTACTAAGAGCACTAAACGTGTGAAACGTCTGGATCTTTTTTCAATAAAATCAAAAGAAAAAAAACTAACTTTTGATTTTGCGGTATTATATGATCCAGACGTTTATTGACCGTTTGTGTTATTCACCCAAACTGTTATTAATATTTAAAACTACTAACAAAATGCATTCTGCATGTTTTCTGAAGGATAATAAAAAAAAATAAAGATGGATTATTGTGTAAGACCCATTATTAACATAAATCTGCATGTTTTGTACAAAAATGTCTGTTGTCTTCTTTGGCATTTCTACATGAAAGCTCTTTTTTTTTAAAATCACAGACTCTTGGTCTTTTGCTGGTTTTTGCGCTTGTGACGGACGACTGCAAGTGTAGTGAAAAAGTTTCCCGCAAACAGAACCAGAAAGCAGTAGCCACACATGGACACCTGCAAAAAAAAAATGAGGTCAAGAGGTTATTGCAACTTCAAGATCGCTGTCTTAATTTATTCATAATCTTTAGCTAAGTGAGTGGATTTAACTTATTATTTCATTATGATGTTGTGGAAAGGTCTACAAAGCAACACTGACCTGCCATTCTTTACTTTCAGGCATCTGTGCCATTCTGAAGAGAGAAATACTGTTCCATAGCTGCCAGAACTGAACCAAGATATACAGTAAATGATTTCTTTCATAAGGCAATGCATATGCTGTTCCATTTTCAAAGTTTTATTCTTTATATATGACAAATTATGCTTTGATTTTATATATTCTATAGGATAGACAAACACTTACATGGCCCAAGAAGAGAAAGGGGAGAAGAAATGTCAATCCCCGCCACATCC